TGGGGGCGGGCCGGGGGCGCGCGCCCCGCCTCGCGGGGCTGGAGGGCGCGGCGCGGGCACCCCTGGCCCAGACCCGCTCTCCCAGGCCCTTGGGCTCCGAGCTCAGAGCTCCCCAGGCCGCCTCCGACCCTGGAAGCCGGCCCTCCCACGCCAGGCTGCAGAGCGTGGCAGTCTACTCCGGACTGCTTAGGGACCCTGGGAGCGGGACAGCGCAGGTTAACTAAGGGCTAACACCTGTCGGGTCCCTGCCCCTTGGTACGCCACCCCTCCACCCCCATTCCCCACAGCCCAAGCGTTCCATCACAAAGATGACCCACACTGGACAGAGCAAGGCCTGTGAGGCGCTGCTGGCAATCACACTGAGGGAACTTCTGAGCCCACCCAGGCACTCTCAGGGGCCTGGGGCAACAAGAAGGAGCCTGCTGTTCAGGCCTGGGGCAACCGAGGGGCTGGGTCTAGAAGAGACAGGGGAACACAGTTTGGAAACCACTTGTGGGAACGCCGACCCATAGCCATCTCTATACAAGGTCGTCTTCACGGGAGCAGTCGGCCTCATCTTTCTCCAGCAGAGCAGCTGGTGGGTGTGAACTGCCAACCTTCCTGTTAGCAGCCCAATGTCTCGCCTACAGTGCCACCAGGGCGCCTTCCTGTGACAGCAGAAGTCTCCAAAAGGTCCCTAACATGGGGCTGTGGGGTAGCCTGCCCCATGGTGCCTACGAGATTAACAAATTGCAGATAGAACCAGAGTAACCCTGGTTCCGTCCATTGTGCAAGCCAACAGGGTTTCCATAGAAAAGTTAGAGAAACATTTTTTTCATTTATCTGGGTATGCTTGTTCCTTCTCTTCTATTTAATTCCACATCCTACTGCAAGCTTGCTTAATTTTTGAGCTCAGTTTTTTCATCTGTAAATAGGAGGAGGGCAACATCTAGTTTTCTACGTCACCAAGTTGTGGTAAGAGCTGTAAGAGTTAATACCCATGTAGCAGAGCTTAAATTCTGAGCACTTAGGCTTGCAGAAGGCTGTGGATAGCAGTCAGCCCAAATTCCACCTGCAGAACTCCCACAAAGATTAAGCCTCCATTGAATTCCTTCTGATGCAGATAATCTTGCCTCAGGCAGAGTGTGTTAGAAAGTGGATTGATTACCTTCACCCCTCTCTAGCCAGCCCAGGTAGGGACAGTCTCCCTTATGTCCTTGATGGACAGTACTTGGGATTCACATAGTCATGAGTCATGTCTTGTCTTGACAGCCTTGGTCAGAAGGCCCTAGACCAGAAGTTCTCAACCTATGGGTCGTGACCCCTTTGGGGGTTGAACCCCCTTTTACAGGGGTTGCCCATAACACTAGCAAAATTACAGTTATGAAGTAGCAATGAAGATAATTTTATGGTTGGAGGTCACCACAACATGAGGAACTGTATTAAAGGGTGGCAGGATTAGGAAGGTTGAGAACCACTGCCTAGACCAATCTTTCAAGCTCTCCTCTTTAACACTACCTGTCCCAGTCCCAGTCCCATTCCCCCTTCTGTAGTCCATCGGTATCTGTGATGTCTTGGCCTGCCACCAATCATGAATTTGTGACTGTTTTCTTCGTTCCATACCTTATTTAACTAGAGTCCTGACTGTGGCTCCTTGGGTGCCATTATCACCTTGTGCTAGTGACACCCCCACCCCCCCACCCCCCTCACCCCCGCCATCCAGATGATGTGTCTGTGTTGTTGTCCCTTTTAAGACTTAATAATTTTCTCCTTAAATTACATTTGAGATTGGCGTCTCTTTTGTACACTAAACACCCATAAAGCATCTACAACAGCGCTTGGCACAGAGCAAGCACTCAGTAAATACTAGCCTTTATTAGACTGCCTCAAAGGAAACTTCTATTCAGTCTGCAGAACCCCATTCAGTTAGCTTCCTCTACCTGCACCTCCCCCCCACACACACCCTCAACCCCAGGGGAAGACAATGACTCCTTCTATCATCGCTGCTGCTTCTATACCTTAACTAAGCTTCTGGGGCTATAAACCACCACATTATTATGCTGTGTAGCTGTGTGAACCACTGGCCTACTTCCTCCCGAGTGGTGTGGGACTTTCATGCTCCCATCACCTATAGAAGCTCTGCCTGCACCTATAGAGGTGGTCAGCAGGAGTTGACCGACTCCAGTTGAAGCCAATGGCAGTGCACTGGAGGAAATGGAGAACAGGGACAGGATGCAGGAGGGCTAGTGGCCTGCCTGGGGGACATGGCAGAAGAGGCAAATCTATTAGAGGTGACCTTTGAACTGAGGAGTGAATGACAAGGAGCCAGCTGGGCAAATGCTAGGAGACTGAACATTACTGACAGGGGGACAGGCTGTGAAAAGGTCTAGGAGAGCCAGGTACAGGGATGAGGCCAGGCTCCCTTCCTGTTCCCATGACTCCGTTTCCTTTAGTGATCCCTCCATCAGGCTCCTGCAATCAGCACTCCTGACTCTGCTCCCTGCATGCACGTGACTGAGATCAACCAATGAGCACATCACTCCAGCTTTGGCTCCAGGGTGCAGGGCGGGCAAAGACAGAAAGTCTGGCTCTGGTTTAGGGGTTGCGGCTTGTTTGGGCAGGGGAAGCTCAGTGGTAGAAATTTCACCTTCTATGCCGAAAACCCAGGTTTGATGCCCAGCCAATGCACCTCATGTGCACCTGCCACCTGTCTGTCATCAGAGGCTTACATGTTACTGTGGTGCTGAGCAGATTTCAGAGAGCTTTCAGACTAGGGCAGACTAAGATGAAAGGCCTGGTGATCGACTTCCAAAATATCAGCCAATGAAAAAAAAACCCTGTGGGGCGCAGCAGTCTGATCCTAGTGTGCAAAGGGATGGTCGTGCGCTGCAGCTGACTCCACTGGATGGCAGCCAGCAGCAATAACTTGCTTTCCCAGTGTGACTCTAGGGCCCAGTGGTGCTGTCATTGGTTCCAAGGGTGTCCCTCAGATACCTGCCCTCACCCCCATTCTGCACACAAAATTCCCCTTATGACCAGAATAGGGTAGTGCCAACTGCTGGTGGGTGCAAATGATCTGTGGGCACTGGGATTAAAGCTTTCTCAGACCACGTGTTCAGAGTTTGCCCCCTAAGCTACTCTTGTATGAAAGCCAGAGATGAACACAAGAATTAGACATTTAGTCCTCATGAAATGGGAGAATTTGGAAGACATGCTCAGCAAAGTTAGTCAGTCTCAGAAAGATAATAGTTCACGGTATCCTTATTATAATTGGGGGGCGGGGAGAATAGGAAAAATGGTCTTCACACCAAAGAAGCAGTCTCTGAGGGCCATGGTGAGCCAGGGGCGTGGTAAGGGAGTAAAACAGGTGAAGGGACGGAGTAAGAGGATGAAAAACAAGAAAAGTCTACTTCCATGGGGAGAGGGGATTGCTGGGATAGTGTCAGCATTCTGACCGTGTTTTGTAAGTCTCCCTTGGTGTGTTATGCTCCAGGTATAAAAGGAGAAAGAGAAGGGGGAACAAAGGAGAGGGAAAGCCTTCCAGTTTCCTTTCCTATCAGATCTAAACAATGGTCTGAATAAAAGTAAGATCAATTGAAAGTGACTTCAATGCTTAAAAAAAAAAAAGGTTAGACATTTGTTTCGAAAGGAAAACTGCAGAAACACTGAAGGAAGTAGGGGATGGGTGAACCCCAAATCCACATAAGGCTGTTTGAATTTGAGCCTGAAATTCAGGTGTCCAATGAGTCCATAAATCCCCAGCTGGTGGAGATGCCCAAGTATAAAAAGTGGTGCAGATGGTTAATATGCTCACTGAAAGGTCAAATGTTGCAGTCTACCCTGAGGTGCCTAAGAAGAAAGGCCTGGCAATCTCCATCTGAAAACTCAGCCATTGAAGACTTTCAGGGGCACAATCCTACTTAGAAACACATGGGGCTCCCTGAGTCTGAGCTGACTAGATAGGAGGGCTCATCGTAAAACAAAATAAAACAAAAAAGGCAGTTCGGTGAAAACGGAACATTCAAAAGGGGGTAAGGGTGGGTGGACCACAGAGAACCCACTGTTTTTGTAGCCAGTCCCTGCAGGCTTCCTTTCTAAATGCACACGGACTGCTTTCTTGCAGGAATGGGGCGGCAACACACAGTTTGGTAACCTTTGTTACTGAACAGCCTTGCCCTATCTGTCTCAGTGCTGACCCCGCTAACCCCAGTTGGGAGGCCTTCGGTTGCTTCTAGACTCTCTCCTGAGGAAGGATAAAGGGACCCAACTAGTTCCCTGGGATGAGGGGCTCCAGGTAGAGTTTCTGAACCCCAAGACTCCAGTGACATATCAAAGGCGATCGTTTTCTCAACAACTATGGGCATGATCAACCTTGGTGCCTTTTTTCCTATGTCGTGGAGGTTGGAGGGAAAGGGGTAAGGACTCTCAGGTTCATTTGCATTTCTTTGATTAAGCCTCGGTTCATATGTTTATTGGCCATTTGCCTTTCCTCCTTTGTGAATGACCTATTTCTATCCTGTGCCCCCCCCCCCTCCGCCACACAAGGAGGTTAATAAAATGTCATGATACTAGTACCACCTTCAGGAACAAGATGGAATGAAACTGGGCTTCCATCAGCTTCTCAGAAAGGCAGGTCTGTTAGCAGATTGAATGTGCTTGGAAATTCTTCCCCGCACCAAGGCTTTCCAGGATATTCTAATTTTTCAATATGTGAACTGCTAGCACCACAGCAGCTGAAATAATCCATGCCAAGACGCTTCCCGGTCTCCTTCCAGCTCCCACGTCTGCAGCAACAGAGAGAAGCAAGCTCCCTAGCCCTGGAAACACATGTTCACTCCTGCACATGTAAGTCCCAAATGTACATCGTCCAGTTTAGCATGCTCCCTGGCCCCGAGGGAACTGTGTACAGACAAGAGGTCATGGAGACCCTTGGGGTGGGCATTCTTCCTTCACACCTGAATTCCTAGACTGTCAACAAAGAAGCTGGGCAAAAGATGGGGCTGATGCATTTGAGTCCGAGAAATGAACATCTGACGTGGCCCTCCCAAGAGATCGTTCACCGTGCTTTTACATAACATCCCACATCATTTAGGAAACCAATAGGCAATACTCTTATTTTATTTTCTGTTCTAAAAGTAAAAAGAACATAACTATAGTTGCATTAATTTTGTTACCAAGAACAAAAGCTTGAGTTCCCAAACTTACTTAGCCTACTACCTTTTCTTCAGAAATAAATTACTCAATGGCAGTCTCTGACAATTAAAACCTTTTGTGCTGTAGCCCACCATCCAGGATAAAGTGTAGGTGTTGTTTTACAGCCCTCCTGGAGCCCTGGTGGCATAGTGGTTAAGCTCACTGCTAACAGAAAGGTCAGCAGTTCAAAACTACCACAAAGAAAACATGGACTTTCTACTCCTGTAAAGAGTTACAGTCTCAGAAACCCACAGGGGCAGTCTACCCTGTCCCATAGGGTCGCTATGAATCAGCATCTACTTGATGGCAGCGAGTTTGGTGTTTTGTTTGTTTGTTTTGGATTGTTCCCAGGCGGAAGTGTCCCCCACTTTGAGAAACATTTCTCTAACGCAGGGGTGGAGAAAGTCTGGCCCTCTGGCTGTATAACTCATTGTACCCAGCAGTTCTGACTCATAGTGACTATATGGGACAGGGTGAAACTGCCCCCGTGAGTGTCTGAGAGTATAACACCTTATAGGACTAGAAAGCCTTGTCTTCCTCCTGCAGTGCAACTGGTGGTTTCAAACTACTGACATTGACATTAGCAGCCTAACGCATAACCACTATCCCACCAGGGCTCCTCATAACCTTATAAGGTTGGTGAAACCTGTAAGGCAGATTTGGTGATGGAAAGAAACAAAGAGAGAGAGAGAGAGAGAAGGTAGAAAACGGTTTTAAAGGTTTATTTCAGAGTTCTGGGAACTTTTATAGCCCAGGTCTGGGGGAGGAAGTAGCTGGGGAATTTTCCACTGCAACTTTGTCCTCTGTAGATCAGGGGCTAAGCAACAATGTTCAAAGTTATCTGTAATGATTAGCCTTCTCACCTGGGCTGGAAGGCCACAGAAGGGGAGGGAGAGGTCTGGACTCCTTGAAGTGTTTCACCAGCTCCTGCTATCCCTCCAGTCGCCTGCCCGGCCAACTCCTGCCTCTGCCTGACATTTCAGCATTTTGGTGATAAGGGGTGTTGCAGTCTGTCTGTCTGCTTCCTGCTGGTAGGGGATGCTGTGGGCTTACAGACACCAGAGCAGGAAGAATGGGAGTTCTGGGGGTGGGCTTGTTGTCAAGTGGGTGTATGGGTGGAAAAGAAGCTGGTTTACTGTGCCCCTGGACAGTTCTTGTATGCGCTGCTGGATAAATCTGAGAAAATGCAGAGCTAAGAGAAAAAATGAAGAGATAAGGATTAGTGTCCCTAGTAGGGGCAACAACCAGGTGGCTGAGGGGTATTGCAGCCAGCCAAACGGGGAGTAATCTGTCCTTCCGTGACTGCAGAGGTCTTCACTCTGGCAAGTTAGTCTTGCTCTACCAGCCCTGATTCATTGATGTAATAACATCACTCTTCCCCGAGGAAGAGGCAGGTACCCCCTTTTCCAGCAGTGAGAAGATCTAAGGCCCGTCTGTTTTGTAGGGCAACTTGGGCCAGAGAGATGATCTGTCCTTCCGTGAGGCTAAGGAGGCTGTGGTGGACTCCAAAGTGGTCTGCAATGAGTCCTCGAAATTCTGTGCTGAGATGATGGAGTGGCTGAGTGTGCCTCCAACCACTCCAGATGCTGCGATTGAAGACGCTAGGCTTATACCTACAATTATTGGAAGGAATGCTGCTCTCTTTGATCTTTGGACAGAGAGTAACCATGCTAACTCAGACTGACCACACAGAGTGGGCAGAGGAACTACAGTAACTGGAAAACAAGGTCTGCTATGGAAGAATTCACACATTTAGTTAAAATTCCATTGAACCAAAAGAATTGTCTGGGGTTGGAGAATATATTAGCATTAATGGTTATATTATGTCTGCAAACTCCATGAAGAGAAAAGCCATTTACATTCTGATCTGTGAAGTAGAAGATTCGCGGTGGCTGAGTCTGATTTACTTCCTCTGGCTCCCATAGTGGGACCTGACTCAGTGGAGTGGTGGTACATCTTGTTGGGGGTGCTTTTTTGGGAACGAGCCTACCATAGTGGACGAGGACTTTGGTCAACAGGTATTTGAAGGGAGGCACACAGGAAGCAATGAGTGACATTTTTTTAGCGCATGGGTTTGATTAAGGAAAAGTAGAATGTGTTGGATTATCAGGACCCATAAGGACATGGTGGTAGTCTGAAGTTTGTGAGGTATCTGATTTTGAAGTGCTTGCTCCACCTGGAGAATGTTGGCACAGATTTGTACCTGGGCTTGAAAGGCTAAAATGTATTCCCTGTAAATGATAATACTGCCTGAGGGCACTGAGCTGTATTTAAAGTTGTATAGCTCACCTTTGACTCCCTCAACCCACCTCTCATTCTAGGGTTGGTAATACGGAGGTAGAATGTCCCATCCTGAATAAAAAAGGTTGAATCAGTAAGTACTCATCTGTTGTGTCGTGTTTTTTGCTTAACCTGTATGGACACCCATCATACTGCTTAGGCCACAACTGAGAGCAGGCCTGTTTTGGGTAGTAATAGGAGTAAGCAAATGGTCTAAAATGAGTTGCAACTGTCTTAAGAGTGAAGGGAATGACAAGTTGACTTTGTTACCCTTGGAGAGAGCAGTTTTTCTGGCCAATTGGATGAACTATCTCAGTTGACTGCGAGGTGTAGGTTTCTTTGACTTTAAAGTGCCACACAAGAGTTACGGGCTTCAGCCATCGTTAGCAAGGTTATGGCTGTGGCAAAGGCCTATTTGAGTGGATTCCAACCTGACAAACGTAGGGGCCTCATGAGGGTTAAGAGGGGGGCTCTTGACTTGGGAAATATGGTGCCACCGAGGGTCCCCTAAGAGTTTTGCTGTTGTAGGAGTGGTAAGGATTACAGTGTGTGGACCTGATGACTGTGGTTGTAGAGGTTTTGGATGAAGAACCTTTTTTTCCCCAGTATTTATTTATTTTAATCATTTTATTAGGGGCTCACACAACTCATCACAATCCATACATACATCAATTGTATAAAGCACATTTGTATATTCATTGCCCTCATCATTCTCAAAACATTTCCTCTCCACTTAAGCCCCCGGCATTAGGTCCTCATTTTTCCCCTCCCTCCTCGCTCCCCCCTCCCTCATGATTCCTTGATAATTTATAAATTGTTATTTTCTCATATCTTGTCCTGTCCGACGTCTCCCTTCACCCACTTTTTGGTTGTCCATCCCCCAGGGAGGAGGTCACATATAGTTCCTTGTAATCGGTTCCCTCTTAAGTCTTGAGAAGCACCTAGTCTCCTGGTTGCAGCGTGGCCACCTGAGAGGTTTGGTCTGAGTCTTCAGGGCAGGGCAGGGCAGGTATATGTTCGAGTGTTCCCGGAGCAGCTGTCTTAAAAGAGAAAGATAAGGGAGGCAGGAGGCCAAGGAGTGTTCTTGGACTGGTAAGTGGTGGTTAAGTAGGAATGGTTTTGCATACATGAGTTTGAAAGGACTAAATTAGGTGGGGCCACGAGGGGAGGCTCTAATCCGAGCAAGGGTTAGAGGTAAAAGTGTGACCCAGGACTGGCAGGGTTTTACAGAAAGTTTTGGGAGGTGATCTTTAAGGAGTCCATTAGCCCTTTCTATTTTTTCTGATGATTGAGGTCTATATGGGATGTGTAGCTTCCTATCTCTGTCTAGGGCTGAACATACCTGAGTAATCTTGGAAATGAAAGAAGGTCCATTATCAGGTTGAATGGAGGTGGGGAGACCAAATCTGGGAAGATGTGAGTCAGCAGGGTGTCTGTCACTACTTCTGCAGTTTCGTACCTGCAAGGGTATCAACCATGGTGAGGAGGTATTTTAGCTTTCTGTGTGATGGCATGTGAGTGAAGTCTACTTGCTAATCTTGTCCTGGGAGATGCCCTTTTATCTAATGGGTGGGGAAGCTTGGTTTAAGTCCTCCTGACAGAGGCATAAGTGCAGCAGGCAGAACAAACAGTATTTATAAGGGTTTGCAATGATGGGTGATGAAACAGAGGCTTAAGGAATTGGTTAAGGTTTGGCGGGGGGGCGATGTGTAAAGAGTGATGGATCTGTTGTATGATGGTGGCTGCCTGGGCTTGGGGTAAGGCTAGCTTTTCTTACAGCATCACCCAACCTTCTGGGGTTAAGGTTCCTCCCTTGGAAAGCAATGAGTGTAATTCTGTGTCTGTATACTGTGGCTGGAGGTTGGGCAGTGACAAGAAGAGGATGGGAGAGGGGTGAGGCTGGTTTGAATTAGTTAGGCTCGGGTGACTGTGTCTGCTCTGTTGTTTCCTGTCTTACGGAGAATCATCAGTTTAATGCCCTTCATATTTGTTATACTACAATCCTTCTCTTCTAATGAACATATTCACTTCTCATTTCTCATCAACTTCTCGCTAAACAGCTTTCTGTCCCTCTTTTTCTGACAATTTGCAACTTATTCTGACGTTCTTCAACTTACTGTCTCCATATAAATTCTTTGCGTAACTGGCCTGATATCCACCTGATATGGACAATGGGCGAGAGGAACGGGCATCAATTCCCCTGACACAGACCTGGGAAGAGTCTAGAGGACCAGAGAAGGAAGGCAACACAGAGAAGGCAGCCCCTGTGTCAACCAGAAAGGGCAAAACCTTTCCTGCTACCTTGATTGTTACCCTGGGCTCGTCTAGGTTGATCCGGTCATGAGTCCTGGCTCCATCAGTCCTCAGCAGCTAGGCCCAGTAGCATCAACGGCAGGTCAGAGCTTGGCGGGACTGGCCTTCCTCGGTTGTGCACCAAAAGACAGTCACTTCTCCAGTGGCCCTGTTGACTGCACGCTGGACAAGACTTGTTGGGCGGATGAGGTTGTGGGCAGTGACAGGCCCAGTGACCCCATTGGCCACACTTGACGGAGGTGGTCTGAAAGTGCTGTTCCCAGGGCCTGGGAAGGTGCCAACGTCCTCCTGGGTGCTGAGGGCCTCAGGGCTGCAATCAAGGCCTGGGCTTGTAAGTTTGCCTTCTGGCCATTTCGGGACTCCCTGTCTGCCTCTGCCTGCTCCTTTCTGGTATTAAAGACTTTAAAAGCCATATGTACCACATCCCGGACAGGAATCTGAGGGCCATCCTCGGCGTTGTTAAACCTTTTTTCTGATGTCTGGAGCCCTTTGAGTAATGAAATGCATGGCAAGGAGAGTGACCCCTGCTGGTGAGGTTGGGTCTAGGCGGGTGTATTGAATGAGGCGATTTTAAAATGCTGCCAGATTTTCATCTGGCTTTTGAGTAATTTCCCTGAGTTTGTCAAAGTTGACTGCTTTGTGAGAGATTGCCTGGAGGCTGGCCAAGACACACTGGAGCATTTTATCTCAGCGGGCCTGGCGGGCCTGGTTCCTGACTTGGGACTACCTTGGTACCCACAGGCATGTTGGGGTCAGTGAGATGAACCTGGTCTGCATGCTGCTGGACAGTGGTAAAAACACACTTTTTTTGCATTTGAGGTGAGAGTGGATGAAAGGACTACAAAAATATCATGCCATGATAAATCATAGGCTTGAGACAAATAGAGAAACTCTTTGATGTAGGTGGTGGGATGTGTTAGTCTGGATACATTAGAGAAACAAATCCACAGAAACTCATGTATAAGAGAGAGTTTTATATAAAGGTTAAGTTCCTATCAAGAAAACATCCCAACCCACTGCTGCCCAAGCCCACAAGTCCAACATTAACCCATTAACCCATATGTCCGACACCAACCCACAAAGTCCCCCTCTATCTCACAAAACAGACACAATGATGCCGACTGCAGGAGGAAAGCCGAGTCAGTGAATGTGTAATCATCTCAGTGCTGGCAGGGGTCTCCACACGGGTGCTCCAGCACCCAGGGCTGCATCCGGGTAGGTCCAGGCGGCTTCTCCTTGGGGATGTCTTGCAGGAAGTGAGCCTTGCCAGCTAAAGCAGGAAACTGGCTAAGGCAGCTGCACCCTGGTCCGACCATCAGAAAGCAAGAAACCCGAGAACTAAAAAGGTGAGGCTCACTGAGCCATTTATCTCTCCACCCTTCAATTAACCCCACATGTGTTTATCGGCCAGGTTGGCACAATGAACTAACTACTTCATGGGATCATTGGAAAAGGAACCTAAGCACTTTTCAATTTTGGACAAGTCAATGAGAGAGAAGGGAACATGGACGCGGACAAGACCTTTGGTGCCTGCAACTTCCTGTAGAGGGCAGAGGAGGGGTTTGTGCAAGCGGGTAAGACAACTGACAGGGGAAGACAAAGGAGCGAGCTTAGTGCCTGAGTGGGGGGATCGGTGGAGGGGTGGTTGGGAGTTGAGGGGGTGGCAGAGGGAGGTGATAGTGAGGGGCATCCAGAATATGGAGGAGGCCTTACTGGAGGCGCGGACAAGGAGTTAGGAGGTTCACAGAAAGACAAGAGGAGAATACTGCCAGGGACCTGATTGGGGTGCAGTGGGTCTGTCTGAGCTGGTGAGTTTTTCTGGTTAGGAGAGTATTGGGCTAAAAGAACTTGAGGGGTGACAGGTAGTACAGAGAGAGGGACAGAGTGTAGAAGGAAGAAAGTTTGGAAGCAGAGGATCTCAGGCCATTTTCCAGTATGCAGGCAAAAGTTACTGAGATCAGTCAAAATATTAAAATCAAAAGTTTTATTTCAGAGCTCCCGGGCAAGGTTCACAGGTCCATAACTGGGGCCAGAGAAGTCTCCCCACGGGGGAGGTAGGGGAGTACAGAGAAAGAGACGGGAGCATCCTGAGCTTCCGGGTGAGGTTCACAGGTCCCCAGCTGGGCACCCAAGAAGTCTCGCTGTCTGGGGAAGAGAGGTGGAGTTTTATATCCCAGGTCTGGGGGATGGGGGGTGGGGAGTAGCTGGGGAATTTTCTACTGCAACTTTGTTGTCTGCAGATCCGGGCTAAGCAACAATGTTCAAAGTTATCTGTAATGGTTAGCCTTCTGCACCTGGGCTGGAAGGCCACTGAAAGGGAGAGGGAGGTCTTGCCTTGAAGTGTTTTCACCAGTCTGGGCATCCCTCTACTTGCCCACCCCGCCAACTGCCGCCTCTGCCTGACAAAACCATCTATACCAGCTAACATAATATGCCTCACCAAAGAGAAGCTGTTCCATCCATCACATTAGGGGTGAGTTCATTACATGTTCAATCAGTATGGCCTGAGAATGATGTTATAAAGAGCCAAATGGACCCTGGACCAAAAAAGGTTTTCCACCTCTGCTTAAAGTGTGGTTACAGGTGGACATGAAGTAGTTAAGTTTTAGAGATTGAGAAAAATTGGCTCATTGCAACTCAGGGAGTTCGGTAAAGTTTAAAAGTTTAATTACAATGATAATGGCAATAACACCACCAATAACAGTGCACAAGGAAACGATAACACCTTCAAGGAAGCTGGGTCTGTTTTCTGCTTCTGAAAAGGCAATGATCCCAAATCATTAACGCCCTTGTCTTTGTCTCTCTAGAGCACCTTTCGGCCCAAGAGTCTAATCAATTCCTGGAGGCGTTTTCTTGGGGGAAACATAGAGAAGGGGGTAGGTGCAGTTAATGCCTTCAGTGTAGCTTGAACTTCTTCCTTCAATTTTTGCTTACATGCCTATCTTAACTCCTGAAATAGTTAAACATCCACAGATGACAACATGCTACTTATAATGTTCATTTTCCAATGTAAAGAAGAAAGACGATACCAATAATGATACACATGTTGAGTTTCTGTCGAATCTTCATTTGAAATGCTGTTATCAAGAATACACTCCTAGCTCAATAAGATCATATGATCGGTTAGAAGAGGGGCATGTTGGGTCAGTGATATCATTCTGGCCTTCCATGTGGGATTCCAGATCTTCTCTGCTTCTGAGAAGCAGCCAGTGGATGCCCAATGGTTTACACCTGTCCAATCCCATTACACATGAGGTCACCATGACTCTGAGTTGGCAGCTAACAATAGCAATGCAAGCCTAAAACTTTGGTCTCAAGAAATATTTGATTGGACATCCCCTTTCAGAAGGGTCACAAGGAAGATACAAGCCAGTCAGGGTGCAATATAGCACCAATGAAACAACTTTCCTCTAGTTCTTCTTTTTTTTAAAAAATCATTTTATTAGGGACTCATACAACTCTTTTTTTTAAATCATTTTATTAGGGGTTCATACAACTTTTATCACAATCCATACATACATCAATTGTGTAAAGCACATTTGTACATTCATTGCCCTCATCATTCTCAAAACTTTTCCTCTCCACTTAAGCCCCCAGCATTAGGTCCTCATTTTTTCCCTCCCTCCCTGCTCCCCCCACAACTCTTAACACAATCCATACATACATCCATTGTGTCAAGCACATTTGTACCTTTGTTGCCATCATCATTTTCAAAACATTTTCTTTCTACTTGAACCCTTGGTATCAGCTCCTCATTTTCCCCTTTCTCCTCCACCCTCCCTCCCTCCCGAACCCTTAATAATTTATAAATTATTATTATTTTGTCATGTATTACACTGCCCAATGTCTCCCTTCACCCGCTTTTCTGTTGTCCATCCCCCTGGGAGGGGATTATATGTAGATCATTGTGATCAGTTCCCCCTTTCTACCCCACCTTCCCTTTCCCCTCCTGGTATCACTACTCTTATTATTGGTCCTGAGGGGTTTATCTGTCCTAGATTCCCTGTGTTTTCAGTTCTTATCTGTACCAGTGTACATCCTCTGGTCTAGCCAGATTTGTAAGGTAGAACTGGGATCATGATAGTGAGGGGTGGGGGGAGAAGCATTAAAGAATTAGAGCAGTGGTTCTCAACCTTCCTAATGCCACCACCCTTTAATACAGTTC